TTCCAGACATTGGACCAGAAGCCCACACCTCAGGCAACATGTGACAGACACATTCTTTTAGTTGAAGGCCTGGACATATTCATACATACAAACTAGGTAGACTTAGCCCTAAAGTAATGAAGCCATAAGACATCTAAGTGGTATTGGAATCAGGTTCTAATGTATCTGAGAAGACATCTAGAGTAATTTTCTTGTGTCTGACAAAGAAGAAAGATGAAAGCAGAGAGATAAAAATTGTATGTTTCTACTATAGAAAGCTTATCCTACTTCCAGCAATAATGGAGTATCTCACTGCAGATCAAGCCTCCTGCCGAAACCTAGATAATCCACATAAAACACGAAATACACATTTTTGTAACATATTAAAAGCAGCCAAGATACCCAAGACTTGAGGAGTCAAGATCACAGGAGGAGAGAAACTCATGTAAGTTGAATATTCTCTGTGCCACATTCAGGGTCCCTGCCAATTTTTGGCATAGAAGGGAAGGCTGGGAGTTGGGCAGAAGTTAGATGCTAAGAGGCAAGAATCCATCAGAGTTTTCAGTATCTCACACAGCTAGGGAGACAGAAATTGGAGTTTTGGAGTTCATGACTGACTGGGAAGACAGGACTGAGGCTAAGACCTCTGAGATGAGAAGTGAAGAGGATACTCTTGTTTTCATTTAGAGGCATTTGTTGAGTTCTTAAGGTGTACAGGCAAGAGACTAAAAAGTCAAGTAGAAAGCAGGTTAAAAGCAAAAAAGGAGTTTGCAGCAGTCTCAGGAGTGTGAGGTGGTAAAAACTGGAGTTCAGGGTCTGCTCAGGAGGACTTCAGAACTAGGCTCATTTCCCTGATTTGCAGCAAGCCAAATGCTGAGACACTGAGGTTTGCTGCAGAGAAGCAACATAGATAGACCTGAAGATTGTCATTCTAAGTGAAACAAGCCAGAAAGAGAAGATATCATATGATATCACATATATGTGGAAGCTTTAAAAAAGAAAAGAAATGGATTTATTTATAAAACAGAAACAGATTTACAGACAGAGAAAACAAACTTATGGTTACCAGTGGGGGAAGGGGTGGGAAGGGAGAAAGGGATAAATTGGGAGTTTGAGATTTGCAGATAGTAATATATATATATATATATATAAATTTTATATATAGTTTATACTATATAGCACAGGGAACTATATTCAATAGCTTGTAGTAACCTATGGTGGAAAACAATATAAAAATGAATATATGTATGTTCATGTATGACTGAAGCATTATGCTGTACACCAGAAACTTGACATATTGTAAACTGACTATACTTCAACAAACTATATATTAAAAAAAATAGGTTTATTCAGGAGGCAGCCAAGTGATGAGGTGAGATGGGAGAACAAATTTCAAATCTGTTTCCCCAAAGGTGAGGGCTTTGGGATATTTATGGGATAAAGAAACAGGGTGGTCTGAGGCATGGTGGGGAAAGGTGACTGGAGGTGAGAAAAAGGTGATGTCATTATTGTTCTGTACAGGAGCAACTAAGGTACATGCTTTTTCATGGGATGCAGGTGCAGGAAATGTTGGTGTTAGCTTGTTCTGAGGGTGGAGCTTTTGACCCTTTGATGCCAATAGGTCATGGATTGGACACGGTGCATAACCCAGTTGTGGATCAGTGGTTCCAACTAGCTGGGGCTCAAACTTGAAAACAGCTGATTCCAAGTTCCTGAAAAACAACTTGGGCAAACATTGTTTAGACTGTGTGATGCTTGAAGGATATGTGAGTTTCTGTAAAGACAAAGTGAGCTTAATCATTAAAGGCAGGTTACAGTTTACTGTTTATTAAGCAAGCTATAGTTTAATGGA